TGTCTGGCTGCCACGTGCATGTGGTGTTCCCTGCCTGATTGCCCTCCTCCCAGTCTCAAGCAGCCCCTCTTGCAGGCTGGAAACTGCCAGCCTGGAAGGGGAACCTGCCATTTCCCGTGTTTTTCTCCTTTAAAGGAAAAAAATCTGATTGTCTTTGCAACCCTCTTTTTTTTTCTTTTTATAACTGTGACCTTAAATAGGGTTGTGACCCCAAGTTTGGGAACCACTAGGCTAAAGGGGTGGTCTGCTGCTGCAGTGTCCTGCCCCAAACTCAAGCTTTCTGTGACTAATGCAAATCACCAATGTGCCAAACCTGGTTGCATTGGCATGGAGACGAGGAAAGACGGCCAACACAAGACAGCAAATGCAGGAGGAAAGAAACTGTCTTCTTCTGGGCACACAGAAGTGAGAGATGAAGAAGAAAGGGAAAAGACATTAAACAAGACATTAAATAGAAGAGATTAAATGTATTTGGTTAAGAGTGTGCTTAAATGCATCATACTGCTTTTGTAACTAAAAGTTAAAACCTAAGCAGAATGGTAGGAAAGCCTTCATTTCTGAATAGCTGAAGGACACTGTTTGGTAGAGAGCCACATTTTTGATGACCTTCAGGAAATTCACGTAGTAGAAAGAAATAAAGTTTGCCAAATAAAAAAGCAAAAGATTTTGAGGAAAGAATACTTTTGATTTTTATAGTGTGTAAAAGGAAAAAGAAAAATATACATATAAAAATCGAATGTCTTATGCATATTTAAAATACCCGTGCTTGTTCAGAATATTTTACTAAGGGAGCTAGAAAAATAATCAAATAAAAACTACAATATGAAAGATACACATTTCACAGCCATATTGCATTTAATTGTATGACCTGGTGCAGCTTCACAGTGCCAACATTTATTTTTCTATTTTCTTAAATAACTGTTGACAGCTTTTCTTCTAAAAAAGAAACATCACATGTTGAGTTTGTGGACTATTATTGTGTTAATACATCTGCCTAAGGAGGCAAGTGTTCAATGGAAATATTCTATTACTTCTTAAAGTAACATTTTACTGGTAATTTCAGTATAGAAGAAACAGTATTTTAAAATGGGGAAAATAAAACAAAAATTATGTCTTTGTAGCTGATATTTGTTGTTGATGTTTTCACTGTTAATACTATTCATAAACCTACTGAATAGTAATTGTTGACAGAATGCCAAACAGTAAAAATTAACTTGCCCAAAAAGTGGCTCTAGCTGACTACATAGGTAAAATCATCCACTGATAACTTCAGGAAAAAAAGGAAGGGTAGCAATACCCACTCAACTTCAAGCACGAATGCTATTGACACAAATCTAATGGTAGCAATATGTGTACATCCATTGTCTCTATCAAACATCATCTCTTTATTGAATCACACTGAAATGCAAGCATTTTGATTTTATTTCCACTATTTTCTGTGGCAATAAGTAGTAACGTAAAGCTGTGATCAAGTCAGGAAAACTTCTATTGCATGAGAATAAGAGAGATCCAAAACTGCAGTTAAGGCAAGTAATTAATTCCTTGCTTTCTAACAAATTCCTGATTAAATTTCAATTGTGAATTAGAGTCCAACTCACTGAAAACTGAAAGCAAAGGCTGACCTCACATTTGCTCTGTAAAGAACACAACCAATAAGCGAAGTACAGATATGATTTGCCTACTAGTCTTCTTATTTAATTTCTTCCACCAATTTACAGTATTGCCAACAGTTGCAAATTTGCGGGACTAGGGGGAGGGGGGAAAAAATCGGCAGGGAAATACAGGAGCAGAACTAATGTGGGAGTCAGAAAAATCATAGATCATAGATCACAGAAGTCGGGTTGGAAGGGACCATGTAGATCTTCAAGTCCGACCCCCTGCCTGGGCAGGAGAAAAACTGGGCTCAAATGACTCCAGCCAGGTAGGCATCAAGCCTCTTCTTAAAGATCCCCAGGGTAGGAGCCAGCACCACTTCCCTTGGAAGTTGGTTCCAGCTCCTAGCCGCCCTGACTGTGAAGTAGTTCTTGCAGATGTCTAATCTAAACCTACTCTCCAGTAATTTGTGTCCATTATTCCTTGTCATGTCAGGGGGCGCTAGGGGAAACAGTGTCTCCCCCAAACCCTTCTGGTCCCCCCAGTGAGTTTACAGACAGTCACTAGGTCCCCCCTCAGCCTTCTCTTGTGAAGGCCAAACAGGTTTAGGTCTCACAGTGTTTCATTGTAGGGTCTGCCCTGTTGTCCCCGGATCATGCGGGTGGCCCTCCTCTGGACCCTCTCAACGTTGTCCACATCCCTCCTGAAGTG